CAAAACTGAACCCTGTGGAACCCCGCAGGTTAGGGCAGCAGTGTTAGAGGAGAACCTATCAGTCCTAACAGAAAAAGTCCTGTCTGATAAGTAGGAAGAAAACCAGTCTAAGGCGGTGCCAGATATACCAGCCAGAACCTTCAGCCTGTTGAGTAGGATTTTGTGGTCGATGGTATCGAAGGCTACGCTAAGATCTAGCAAAATGATCACGGAACAATTTCCTGCATCAGAAACCATTAGTAGATCATTATAGACCCTTAAGAGAGCGGTCTCCGTAGAGTGCTGCTTTTAAAAGCCAGACTGAAAAGGGTCAAAAATCTGCAATCGGCATAGTAAGGACCTGAACTGATTTTCTACAATCTTTTCTAGTAATTTACTTATAAATGGCAATCTTGAAATAGGACGATAACTACCAGGGGAGGTAGGATCTAGATTCTGTTTTTTTAACAGAGGGGTTACCTCAGCATGTTTAAAATAGAACGGAACACAGCCTTGCCTCAGTGAACTGTTGATGATTGATAGTAAAGTGGGACCAATGCTGGTGAGAGTCCCAGACAGGACAGAGGGAGGTAATATATCTAAGGAGCATGATGAGGATTTAATTTTACCTATTACTGCAATTAAGTCATTGAGTGTGATTGGAGAAAAAGAAGTAATTAAGTACCTCAGTGTCCTGTTATGTGTGACACTGAATGCTGACACTGTTTCGTGTCACACATTACAGGTGTCACTTCTATCAGTGTGAACTGATAGTTTATATGTGCTTGTATAAACTGGATGGTTTATGGAAATAAACAATTTCCAAACGTTAATAATGCACATAATATTTTATTTTAAAAAATGCCTGTGTAATATTCAATTTAATAAATTAAATGCCAGTTATCTACCCTACAAAATTTGTTTCTTTTTCACCAAACTGCAATATATAGAAGAGTTCGTGTATGCAGATGGGTCCACTGAGTTTGATACGGAATGTTACAACATAAAAAAAAAAATTACCCAGCATATCTTAAATACTTAATGTGATCTCACACAACTGAAACTGCATTTCATTGTTGTGATCACTGCATTTCTGCTGTGGAAATTGTATTAATTTACCAGCAAGTTTAAGTGCAGTAGCGCAATCAAAATGTGTAGTAACTACAGTCAAAAGCATACACATAATCAGAGGCAGTATACTCACATGATCCACAGTTATTTTCCAGGCAATTAAAACAACTCCCAAAACTATAGAATGTGAGGTGTAAACTCCCAGAGAAGCACCATGGCTGTTGCAAGGAAAGAAAAGAGAAACCAATGAAAAGTCCTCCGTGAGGAGGCGGGCCTACCTGCTAATCAGATACATGGGATGCTAAGGATAGACTGAAAAGCCTTGCTAATCACTCTGAGATTGGACTGAAATCTGATGAAGCTTTGGACACATGACTTGGACTTCACCATTGCATAAACGGTGTTAAACACCCTAAGTTAAACATTTAGAAAGCAACTCCAGGCTCAGTAAAATTCAATGACTAAGCATACCTTGTTTTACCTTCATAGCAAACCCTTTTTTCACTCGAGATAGGGACTATATATATATATATATGTATATATATATATATATGTGTGTGTGTGTGTGTGTATGTATAGAGGGAGAGAGAGAGCGATAGAGAGCTGAATTGGCTCATGACAGAGCTCTGAAGCATTTTTCTATTTTGTTTTTCATCTTCCTTTAACTCTTATTGCTTCCTTAATGCCCAGAATAGCTTTCAACAACATTGCCTGGTCTTGTTAGGTTTTCTTATTATTTGTCACAGTGACAGTGGAGACAAGAAAAACCATCTCAGACCCATCGCTGTCAAAACCAACTTGCACTTGGGTTTGCATCAATTGTTGTCAAAAAGCAGAAAAATCAAAAATAAGATGGATATATATATATAACACAATATATCACTCGATTAACTGATCATCAGCAAGCATGAGCGCCTCTTTTTGTCTTTCTCAGGAGCACAAAACCTGCCTGTTTATCTTTTCATGTTTCAGTCTTTATTGTAGTCTGCTGTGCTCACAATTTAAATATACAGTCCCGGCAAAAAGAAAGTACATCATCATCATCAATTCTAAGGTTTTAAATATCACAGATTAACAATGCAATAAAAAAAATATACAAAACACGACATATTACACCGTGTCCATTTTTTTTTAAACAAAATTCCATGA